GCGGTGGCTGGACAACTGGCTGCCGTGCAACGTGTCGCGGGTTCGATTCCCGCACGGAACAACTCTTTGTGTGATCCACAAATTGTTGTTCCGGGTCTGGGTTTCACGCGTATGTGAAATTGTATGTTTGTAAACGCACCCACGACACAGGAGAAAATCATAAAGAGGGGCAAAGTTTTTGAAAAAAAAAAATCCAAAAATCCAATCCAAACATCGTAACTTCTGCATTTATAATATCAGTAAGAAGTAAAATATAAACCTTCCTCTTCAATCACTCTATCTATTAAAATAAACAGTATCAAAATCCGTTGCGTAGTTTTAAAGATTTAAGCATACATAGGGACAGAGAAAGCGACTTTGTGTTATAGTAAGTAGTGTAGTAGCTTTATTGCACATATTTTATCACAAATCTAAAAAATAAAAAACGGGCTTATAACTATTGAGTGTGCAATGGAACAGTGTTATCACACAATATAATGTCTTTTAGGGTGAATTTAAACAAATAAATCGTGTTTGTTGATGGTTACTAGTTTTTTTTAACATGGTTATTTTTAATATATGGTAACTCTCGCGCGGTTTCATTCACTGCTCGGCTCCATTTGATCGTAGCGTGAAGTTTTATAGGCTATAGCACTCAAGAACATTGTAGCTATCTGTCAGTGAAAGAATTTTGGCAATCGGACCAAGATTACCCCCTACATACAAACTTACAAATTTTACCTTTTTATAATACTAGCAGCTCGCCCCTGCTTCGCACGGGTCTTATTATCTCGCTTACGATGGAAGGGTCCCTATTACCCAACTCTCCCCTCTACTTTTCTAATATTTTCTTTGATAAAAACCTTCTCCTGACAATAACAAACACAACAAAAAAAGAATAAGCAAAATTGGCACAGGCGTTGCTGAGTTATGCGCTTACCAACACTCCACCTAGTCAGTCACCTAGCTAGAGGGCGCCCTACACTACGTTTGCCTGGATTAGGTTTCCACCCTAGAACACTTTGCTAATTCTTTGGACTATGTCGACAGCTTTAGTTCTCTGTCGGATCACCTGGTTCTTTACTGTCATAGCCCTACTGGGCCACGCTAAATTGGTAGGTATAGATACAATATTAAAATCGTGTCATCAGATGCATATTGCGCACATGGATTAAGATTTTGATGATTATATAAGTAAACGAGATTCAAGAAATATACCTAATAAAGTTATGTATCAGCTAAGCATCTGTGAATATAAACCTTACGAGTGGATGCGAAATGTCTGTACAAGAAGACATTAAAAATATTATTCGTCAACTCTGTTATGCTACTAATTGATGCTTATTTCTGGAAGAAATTGCAGTATATTAAAGTATCCCATCTTAACGATGTTTTTGACATTCTTAAACCATTAAATACACTTAAGATTTAATCACATTTCGACATATTCTCAAATTACGCATCATAACAAACTGTCATCTCGATACATATGGCGCCAAATCGTTAAAAAACTTCACTGACAGTTGACGTTTATTTAGTGTTACTAGTGTAAAAAAAGTTTCCTAGTATTCAGGCAAAGATACGTTACTTGTAGTTATTTTTCTAAAAGTAAAGATAAACGAAAATTTCCAAGCTGTAATGAAGAAATGGTAGTTGAAAAACCCAGTACGTTCAGTAAGTGTGGGAGAGCCGTGCTTCGGCACGAATAGGTCGGCTCGACCGGAGTGATACCACGGCCTCACAGACAACCAGCGTGAAACAACCACAGCGTTGTGAATCGCACGGGACAGTAACGTTACCGGAGGCTTATTTCTCCCCAGCCCCCAATCCCATTAAACCCCAAAAAAAAAGAAATCCGCAACCCCATACGTAACTATTCCGTTATTTCGGCGCTGATTGCTTAGGTACCATCAGGTAATCTGTCAGATCGTTTGGCGTCCTTATATAAAAGAAAACAGAATTTAAAAGAAAACAGAGTTTACCGCGTCAATAGGGGCGCGCGTGTGGGAGAAGTAGGCAGGGCGAATACAACGTAAATACTAGTTCTCATATGTATGAATTATTTATTATTGATAGAAACTAGCGATCGAACATAATAAATTCGTTGGAAGGTTTATGAAAACTCGCCAAATCAGACCTTAGCCTACAATACATTACCTAAAGGATACGGTGGAGCATATGGTGGCGGTGGTGCCTGGGCTGAGCACCGCCGTGTCCTCAGGGAAGTGATCGGCGGCGGCGACCTCTCGCGCCCGACCTTAATCGAGGCCATGGTTCATAGCGAGAGGAACTGGGAAGCTATCTCCTCCGCTAAGGAGGAGGCGGAGCGCGTCGGGGAACTATCCTCCTCGCGCCCAGTCAGTAAGAGTCTGACACTCCCTCCCCCCGACCCTGGGCAGGAGAAGTCATTTGATGATTTTCCCCTCCCAAAAAAACAGGCTACAATACATTATCTTATGTTATAAGAAGGTATGATATGTTATACTGTTACTTGTAAATAAATTTCAGGACAGACCATTGAACTTGGCCCCCATTTCACATTTGATTGGATTCAGATTACCTGATGGTAAACAAGCAAAGACGATGGAGTTACAAGTGCGTTTTCGACCTATTCGGGATTTAGGTTTTGCGGACTATGGTTACGGGAATTAGGGTCTCAGAAATTTTGAGGTTGGGCTGGCTCGAAAGCATCATTATTATTCCACAGGTAACTTTTATCTAACCATTGAAAAATCAGCCTTAAAGGTCATGGCACATTATACCGGCACCGCAACAGCACAGCTGCAGCATGGCGTCGCCTCGAATTTTGACTACGGCTAGCTGCCAGCGTGCTAACTACGCGTTGTCCGCAATGTTCAAGCTTGCAGTCCGCGCGCCGGCCGCGACGTGTAAGCCCACAGTCCGCAAGGTGTAAACCTGCTGTTACCGCGAACTCAATATTGTTTAAAGACATTTATGATTGTATAGGACGTAATGACGTTGTTTGGCTGCCGAGTCGGAATCGCCTCGTAATGAGCATGCCGTCAGCGCGCTGTACGCATAAGGTCCCCTCGCTTGCAGCACGAGGGCTGCGAGTGGAGTTGTGTGATACCGGCAAGCGCGCTGACTGCCCGCCGTTGGCTTTTTCATGTTGACATTATGAAATATGTTATACTACACACGATTTAATGCTCTAAATTGAATGACAAGTTAAATGCTGGTGTGGAGCGGTGCTGTTGCGGTGCTGGTATAATGTGCCATGACCTTAAGACAATAATTATGCTGTGAATAGTCGATGTTTCTAAATTCTATTGAATGAATACCCGTAAAAGTAAATAAATACCTACATATCACTACTGAGTAAATCTGAAAGGGTTAATTGCTTTAAAGCTGTTCTATCCTCTTCCCGGATAGGAAGAAACTTTATTTGAGTGTTTTTTTCTAATAAGTAGTACTTCTTTATCTTATTTGAGGAATATTCTGAGACGGTACGACATAAAAAAAACAACTTGTGCCTTTTAGAATCTGGACCAGTAACCATAATCTCGATATCCGACGAGAAACTCGCCTTAGTGTCAAACTACATGAATAACTTATGAAATACATATAAACATAATTGATGTAAAATAAAATAATTGAAATATAATTATACTTTCTGTTTGGAAAAAAGTTTAATGTTTGAAAATGATCAGAACAAACTCCCATTCATGGCGAAATTGGCTTGCGTATTCTTAAAACAGTCTTCCATTTTTTTTTCATAATTTTTTTCATTTGGAAATAAATGAAAACTTATTCCCGTGTATCCGCAAGTACTACATTGTGGAACGGAACAGTATTTCGTATTGCTTATTTTATTAGCAACAGGTTTACGTTTAGAATCGTGGTCCATCTGAATAATCTAACATAACTTCAATAAATAAACAAACAATGTCATTCTTAGACAGTTTCTAAATTTCACCGCTAGAGGCGTGCGGATAATCTTTGCATCGCCAATAAAATAAAATGAGAGTTTTTAGGTCCTGACGTTAGCAACACTACAATCTGAAGTTAGGGCCGCACTATTTTCCCGTCGATCAATAATATTATTGGAAGATGAAAACAGAATGGTTGACGAGCGCGCAGCAAACACACTTTTTTAACTGGAGGCAAAATAAACATTTTAAAAATAGTGCAAAATATGTAAATTGTTCGTTAACTATCAATATTATGTGGTCTTCATATTCTGAGTGATTTCCAATATCATTTCACATTTTAACGGTAAGTTATTTATCGAATTTTAAAATTTTATAATTCATAGCTCTCTGCAGCGATTTGACAAGGCATTTGTTTTTTAAATATGGCTACTATTTTTTGGCGGTTTTATAATATCTTTTATTCATTTCACAAATTTCAATATTAAAATGTGGTAACTAGAGACGATTAAAATATGTAGATTATTTATTGCGTAGTATATTTGAAGTATTTTATTGATTTGTTAATTGTTTGTCAAGGACGATGCGCGAGTTGCAGCAAATTTAGTTCATGGTCGCACCCCTGAACTAGATTTCCGAAATCGATACATCCTGATTCATTTTCATTCTGCAATTCTATTTTAAATCGAAATGTTTCATTGCTTGTTTGTGTAAAATGACTAAGGACCTGATTTATAATATCTGAATAGCCACTTTTTATAAGATATATTTGAATATACGTAATTTGTATGTGCCATACAATTAAGGTTATGAAACATTCTTTATAACAACAGTCTTTATAATTATTTATTAGCGAAATGATAATTTATGCTTTGCGTTTTTGTTTATGAAGAATGTACTTATTCATTTTTGCGAATAATTCTAGTATGTAAGTCATTTGTAGATTTTTAAGGCTTTTGCGATTGCAAATTCATAGTTGCAGCGCCATGTTGGGCGCCAATAAAAAATGTTGGGCGCCAAGACAACATTTTAGTTGGTGATAAAATATCTCAGGCTCTTATTTAAAACGTGTCCCCCTTTTTTTAAATAAATATATATTAAAAATTTTTTTTGAGCATGAAAATCCATATCCTATTTCTCCTTCAGGTCTGGGACGGTAGGAGATGAATGAATAGAACGAGTGTCAGATTCCAACTGACTTGAATCGACTCGGTTCCTTCTCGTGCTCTGGGCCGGGGCCGCGGCACCATATTGCACTAGAACCTCCATCTGTAGTGGGCAGATGGCTCTATGAAGCGTGCGCGGAACGCAACGCGCCGTGCGTTCAGGCCTGTTTCTGTCCGGGTGGCAAAGAAAGATAGCTTAGTTAAATGTAGGTAGCGTGGCTGTGTATTGTGTATTTCAGAGATTCTGAAATACCATCGCGTACCTCTATACCTCCGCCATATGATAGATGCGTCACCTATCGGAGATGTGAGGTCGCCGGTGTGCAACTCATATCGTGCGGTGTTTCGTAGGGACCAGTCTTGGGGCCGCTCCAGTTGAACAGCGGCTATGACTGGGTGCTGAAACGCGAGCTCCCGTTGGCCGCTGACTTGACATGTTATGCAAACGACACGTTGGTCACAGCCCGAAGGAAATCACACCGGGAAGCTCCACTGATATTGGCTGCCATGGTGTTTCACGGCACCTGACGTCAAGTCGACTGGCAACATCTTGAAGTATCTGGCATTGGTTAAACGGGTGCGCTTTTAATGTTGCTTCCCAAATTGGGAAAGGAGCGCCGTCTGTAGACGGTTATAAGTTAGAATTATGCGGTTCCTGGCCCTGCATGGGGCCCTGTGTTAGTGACGGACATGGCGACCTGCGTTCTGGACATCTTCTCCCTGGGACTTGAAACGAAAGTATTTATGTTATTAAATAGATGGCGCAAGGAATGCGAGCACGCTGCGCTTACCCCGCAGATTGAGTCCAGTGGAGCAGGATATTCTTTATCGCGGAACACAACCAACATATTCACGTTATTCACGACTGCACATATGGCAATCGTGCAAGTGCCGGTAGATTAGACATTTTACTGACTATGCAACATGGTCTGAAGAAGCAAGTGACCTTCAATACTCATAGTGAAGCACACAACGGGCACGCTGTTATAGCAGCGGTAAGACCCCTCTTTGAGGAGTAGCTTGGTATACGCCACGGCGTCCTCACCTTTCGTCTTCCGTAAGCTCGGGCCTGCGGACGGCGAGTAAGGGTACCGCGCTGCCTGACGTGACGCGTGCGTAGCGTTCCGCGCGTGCCTCAAAGAGCCCATAGACCAACACAGACGGGCCCCTATAGGACTCATGTTCAGCCGGGGTTGCGGGGTAAGCGCAATGAGGCACCGCGACCTCGGCCTAGAGCAGGAGAAGGAACAGAAGGGTTTTTAGTCAGTAAGAGTCTGACACTCCCTCCCGCCCGGCCCTGGGAGGGAGAAGTCATTTGATGATTTCCGCCTAACATGGAAAAAAAATCCGAGCGTACGGCGCGTAGTATTCCGCCCACACCAATCTTAAAGTGCCAATTACAGACCACCACAGAGGGCCCAATAAGGCTGATGCTTAGCCATGGTTGCGGCCCACGCGCAATAATGGACCGCGAACGCGGCTTGCTGCAGGACAGGGAATATTCTGATTTTTTGTCTCAGTTTTAGTTAGTGATTTTTGACAACTCAAAAATGGGTCGAACCCGAATGGCGATGATGTTAGATTTCTTGGTTAAAATTACATCATTTCCATAAAGGAAATGATGTAATTTTATCTGATCACAAAAAGCGAAAACCTTGTAAATATTCATCGTTCCCAATTTTTCAGCAATAAAAATAACCGCACATAATTGGCCATTTAAAAATACCAAACGGTTAAGCATCTTTAATACGATAATCTCTTTTTCAGGTACTAATCCAAACACCAATAAGAAGCCAAATAAAAATGATTACAAGAATATCCCAACCACCACCTAATTACATATTTCACAACAATAATAAATTACTTAATACTTAATTTACAAATGCACAGTGCAAACAAAATGTATACAACGCCACCAGGGTAAAACAACTTAATCACCAGAATGGGACCATGCATTTAAAAATAACAATAAAATAAAATCAACAAACAATTATAATGGGAATAATATAGAAATACCATCTTAAAGTACAGTATCGCACCGCATAAGCAAAGCAGAATGCCTCAAAAAAAAGACTGCCGTAATTCTGTCATCAAATATGCACCGAGACGGCTTCGGCGTCAAAGAAGACAATTGGCGTCTCAAAGTAATCGTTCTAGTAATTCCTTAAACCGCAGTTTCCGCCCCAATCAAACGATGAATCCACAAAATTGGCTTAATAATCCTACTCTTTATTCCAACTCTGTCGTTCCTGGAAATTGGTTCTATAACCCTGGCCATCCTTATTTCTTTACTCCCCCGCAACATAGTTATCCTCCTCCCTCCAACAATAACATGCCTACAAATCTTCCTAATAATTCCTTTCCGCCTAGATTTTCGTATCCGTTTTCTGGTAGAACACAAATGCAACCAGTCAATCTTGAAAGTAGACGCCCCGATCGTCCCTTGCCACCGAGGATAGATCCTCCAAGGTTTCCAGTTCCTGAAACACGCAAACCACCCGAGCCCACAACTCCTCCTAATTCTCCCTCTCAACCTTCTACCTCTCCTAATTTCACATCACACCCAATTCCTTTGCAACCTCATACTGCTACTGCTAACGACCAAATACTCACAGCAGACACACCTTCGTCCACTGTTCAATCTCCCAATTTACCAATATCTATGGACTTTGACTTACCTCAACCCCACGGCGATCCACCCTTGATTCCGCCCCCCAACAGTAATTCTGAGCATCTGTCCTCAAATCCTGTAATACCTCAAAATAACACCATACCCCCTAGAAGACAAAACACAAATTCGTTTGGACTTCGAAACTACAATCTTTATAATCAAAATCAGTTTCCCAATTCACAAATTCCGTCTTCCTCAATTCCTTCGGAACCTCCAAACTACACTTCTCAAATTCAAAACCACAATTCAACAATTCCCTCCGCCAACAATAACTCCTCTTATCCTCAGTATACGGTTCCTTTCTTTCCTCAATCGCAGTACCCTATTTTACCATTTTTCCAAGCGCCATTCGTTGTTATACCCCCCAATTACAACATATTTCCTACACCTTCCATGCCATCGGTTGGTTATGTTTGTGACACGCCTCCTCGAAGCCGTAATTCTAATCTGCCAGCTCAGTCCCCCGCCTCAACATCAACAGTTCCACCTACGCCAAACTCAAAGCACCCTCAGAGGCGAAACAACAATTCAGCAATGACGTCCTGCCAACTTTCACCTAATTCCACAATTCCGCCGCTTTGTATTTCATTAACACCTAGAACCGATGATATCATGGACACGTCTGTATCTTCAAACTTAAACACACCAGCTGAATCTCGATCCCCTATGCCTTCGTCCCTTGATTACTCTATGGCGGCTCAAAAACAACACCCTGATTCATTTACAACTCCCAACGATAATTCACAGCGTTCCATTTCACCCATAATGCACAGATCCATTCCTCAGTTGCCATCTAATTTAATTAAGCCTCCAAACTATAACACACCTAATATAGATCAGCCCCCCACTGCATCATCCTCGATTTCTCTTGAAGCATTAAAACAAAACCCCGCTACGTCTATACCTTCAACTAATAACTTGTTTTCCCAACCGCAGTCCTCCGATTCTCCTATGACGCCGCCCATAATTCCACCTTCTCATACAATGTCTTCAATAAATGCAAATATGAGCCCCAACACTCCACCTCCGTCATCAGATATTGTAGCATTTAATAATGATGCTCATTCCCCATGGCAAACCCCTGATGCATCACAATTACCGACTCCTGTTTCACCACCCATAATTCGATCTGTTGAAAGACACGACTGCCCCTTACCTACGTCTTTTACTAACTACAATATTAATTCAGCAGCTCAACCCTGTATATCACCTGTATCTTCACCTTCGATTTCTCCAATAGCTCACGATTACAGCATGCCACGTCAGACCCAAATCCCAAACTCACCTAAAACTGCCAAAACTAATCTAGAATGTTTCACTTCACAAATTTCTCTACCCTCTCCTAGTCTTTATCGATCCCCTAATTATGTTCCTCCAAGCGGTCAAAATATCAGCTCGCCTACAGCTTACGAACATAGCGTTTCTCCTGATGTTGAAGCCAATAACCTGTCTACTATACATCAAACGCGGAGTCCCCTTCCACCATTTTCCCCTCTCCATATTTCCCTTACAACCCCGGATCAAGGCAAAACTTCTCAAAGTAGAAACGCTTACTCACCTACATTTTTCAACTTTTCTGTTGAAACCCAATCTCCAATACTAAATATGTGCCAGTCTCCAGTTTCACTTTTATCACCGAACTTATCTGTGTCTTCGGAACAACAAAGCCCTGGTTCACCTCTACCTTCACTTACAGATCCATCAATACCTAATCAAAGGCCTAGTACGGCTTTTGATCCACCAATACCCCCCTACAATACATCTTCTAATTGTCAATCCTCCGATCTTCCGTTCCAGTTTCCAATAATTTCTCACACTAATACTGTATCTCCTGAACAGCAAAATTCCCCAATAACTTCACCTATAGATCCACTGGATTCTCTTACGTCTCTATTAAGTCTTCAATCCTCTATTGAAAATGTCACCATGCCTCCTTCAAATCCTACCTTACATCAATCTCCACTCACACACTCATTGTCTGACACGTCTTATAACCCTACTGACGTTACCCAAACTCAATCCACCGTAGAACCGGTTTCAAAAATATTATTCATAATACCACCTTCCCATAAGATTTCGCGTAAAAGGCGAAACTCTGATTCTTCTGTACCTAGTAATTCCACAGCCTGTCTTATTGCTCAAGACAACTTCATTTATCAGAAAAGACGGAGTTTAAATTCGCCTACGCCGTCTAGAAGTCCGTTTATTCCGTCCGACTATACCATTAGTCCTTCAACGCAAGTCTCTTTAAATAATATGTCTCCATCGTCATTTCGTCTATCACCCACAAATGACGTCATAGCTCCTCTGGACTTATCCAATATGCCTTCACGTCAAGTCCAGTGTCCCGATTTTTCTGTGCAACAACTGTCAATTCCTACTGTACCTGCTAATGACATGCTTCAATTGCATGATTCTGCCACTACTAGTGATAATTTTATATTTACGCAACCAGTGTCACCGAAATGTCCTTTACCTGTATCATCAATGTCTTTTATGGCTACCACCTCCTCTCCTTCCACGGTACATCTTCCATGGCAAAATTGTTTTTCACCTGAAGCTGCTGACCAAATTATTTATTCACAACCTCCGTTCCCCTTTAGTCCTATATCGATGTCATCATCTAAATCCAATTCGCCAATACCTACAGAAGAATTTGCGTTTTCAAATCCGCAACCTCCCATTACTCCTGTACCGTCACCAATGACAGATGAAATTCTCAATGATACTATATCTGAAGCAACACGAAATTTCAATTCACCAACACCACCGAACCAGTTTTTCTTTTCACAGCCTTATGTAATGTCAAATCAATCTCTATCGCCAATTTCTCTTGAAAATCTTAATGAATCTGTTAATTCGCAATTAAGTCCCGAAAACGATATTTATACGATACCACCTCAATCCCCAGTTGATCCCGAATTTCTATTGACGGTTCCCCTTATATCCCCTACTGACACAATAGCAAATGTCAATTCACCACCAATAACTGTAGACCACATAATTTTCTCACCCCATTCCCCGTTGTCCCCTGTACCTTCACCATCCACTTCGTCCTGTACAATCACTTACGACGTATTCTCTCCTGAAAGCCAAAATTTTAATTCACCCACACCACGGGACTGTACAACCTTTTCACCAACTCCACCTCTAATTTTCTCTGAACCTCTGACACCATTGACAATGTCCCCTCAAAACTCAAATTCGCCACTTCCTTCTGACTACCTTATTTATCCGAAATCGCCCACTTACCCGCCAAATCCTCCTGAACCTACTAATGACAGCGAGTTCCCACAGTATGAAACTTACTTTTTGCCATTAACATCGGATTATATTATATATTCAGATCCTCACTCCACAGTTATACACATACCTTCCCCAGTTCCAATTGAACCCACTAATGACCCCATGGCTGAACAGCATAGCCAGGATTCACCTATGTCTGTCAACCACATTTTCTTTGCAGAACCTCAACCTCCGATTATTCCCGTCACTTTTGCGTCAATTCCT